GCATGCGGCTGTCCTCTGGCAGCCTCCAGCTGGATGAAGAGGATGAGGAGGTGTCCTTCGCCACCAACGCCGCTGAGGAGAGGACTTCCAGGGGGGCCTCCAGGTATTTCACCTAGGTGCCTGACACCGGCCGGAGGGATCAGAGGTGGCTGGCACTGACCCAGGGCCGCAGAAGGGTGACACTCTCGCTTGCAGGACTGCTTACTGCTTGTGAAACATTGATGGGCTTGTGTCGTGCGAGTGCTCTTAGCTATAGAGGATGTGTTAATGGACAACAGGGGAGCATTCAGAAGTACCCATCCCCTGCACCATGCTTGGAAGCTGGAACATCTCTGCCTCCACACGTGGGGTCCTGCTCCAGGCAGAGGGGCCAGGGCTCTCCTAAAGCCCTGCAAAGACCTTGTGTCTGCCCCAACCGGGCAGCTGCTGGAGTCTTCATCAGAGGGAGGGAGAAAAAGACGAGACATCTCACTGAAGAGGTTAAACATCTGTTTGTCACAGCTGCAGGGAAGCACACTCTTGGAAAGGGTGTTTGAGGCCCATTTGGAGAGGAGCAGGATGGCCAGGGGAGGCTGCTCCAGCTGATGCCCCGTGGACACAACCAATGCCCCAGCACGGAGCCTGTCTCCTCCATCCTGCCTCTCCTCCCTCCAATGCTGCACGGAGTGCCTGGCCCTCCAGGACAGGGCTGCGTGTGTGGGGTGCTCCTTGGAGCCACAGAGGAAGCAAACAGCTCCGTCTTCTCCCCAGCCAGTTTACAGCACTATCCTTCCCCAAGAAATATCTCATTGGTGCTTGTAAATCATTTAGCAGCATCCAACAGCAAGCTCTGGGAAGTGGGTTAGTAAATGACATTGTATAGCTCTGCTTTTCTTAGGTCCATTAGCCGTCATTTTCTGGCAGCAGCTCCACAACCCCGGCACCTCAGTGCCCTGCTTAAATCTGGGGGAGTGAGGCACATAAGGGGGTCCTTTGCTCCCCCAAATCAGGCCTCAGTTAAGCAGCATGGGGACAAAGATCTCAGGAGGGGGTAGGAAAGAAAGAGGCAGCTGGTGCTCACCCTTGGCATTAGGAAGTCTGCTGTAACCATGGTGCTTCGAAACTTTCCGGTTTGCTACATGAGCGCAATGTTATTTTTACCAGGGCTGTTTCTAGCTATAAAGGAGCAGGAGATGGGACTGCTCACCATCCACAGGGCAGCAAGGGGGGGATTCTCAATTTATCCATTGCTCCCTTAAAGGGAAAAGGTATAAATATACTTCTTGGAAGTACTTTTATTACAAAAATTATGATTACCCTAAACCTACATGAAATCTATGCAGAAAACTGGAGAATGATGACACCTCTGTAAGATTTCAAGGAAGGATCTTGTTACTTTTCTTTAAGAACCCTGTGAGACACTGTAGGACATGGCTGTAAGGAGAGGGAGGGTTGAGAAACTACTGCGACCTGGTAGACTGGACTTCAGAAACAAGGAAGCTGGGGCAAAGACAGAAAATAAGTCACAATGTAAAAAGAACTGGGCTTTTGGGTACTGCTCACCCTGCGCATCGCTGTCCTGTGTTTTAGCAGCTGGACAATAAAAATCAGTTGTTAACACCAGAGTTTTGGGTTCCTCCTTCTGCCCCATCAAATCTGCACCCCCAGCCCCCCAGGCACCCCCAGCCCACCTTCCCCTGCACCTCCCATCTCCCAGGCAGCCCTCATTGCTCCACAGAGCTGCCAGGCTGGTTTCCCTTTCCTGCAGCTGCTTGCTGGCTCCCTCTGCGCCTTCACTGTCTCAGCCACTGGGGAGACTCACCAAGATCCCTGAATGCTGCTGAAAACAACCACATTCTTGGTTGGTTGCCCAAAGAAATGCATTAGATCAACAAGAAAGCACACTGTACAGTTTGCTTTTGCTCCTGGTTACCCTGTGCTAAAGCTGTGAACTACAGGGACCCCACATGCTGCTCTGGCACATGTTCTATTAAAAGAAGGGATAATCTTTCTGGTTATAGAGAGTTGCTTCTTCCCTTCCCCTAAACCCTGCACCTTGGAAAGAGCAAGAACCACCACTCAATACAGTATTTAAGTATAGCAGTTTATATGCATGGGGGGGGGGGGGAAAGCAGCAGTATTTCAAATACAGACTGCACACACTGCCCTCAGAGAATGCCCCTTAAAAGGGTTATACTTTAAGCACACAGGCAAACCTACATTCACTGTTAGCTCCTGAAAGCATGTGGAGACAGGTAAAGGCTGGCCCAGGTCAGCTTTACCTTGAGCATATCCCAGAACAGACACACTGTCCCCACTGAGAGGGACCAACATACAGCTGCACTGCCCAAATATCCAGGAGCTGCCAGCTCTGGCATTCAGGACTATGCCATGAAAACAGCACTGAGAGGGAGAAACAAGGACTCGGGAACTATTTTTGGATTTTTCCATTGACTAGAGAGCACTGTGGCACAGCATGTGCACTGTGACTTAGCACATCCTACATGACGGTCAACAATAGCAGAGGAACAAAGCAGCTCGTAAGTGACCGAAATTAACGTCTTCAAGCTAAATTCATTGTGTAAACTAGCTTTCTTGGGACTGACTAAAATAAAGGAACAATCCCAGCAAGCAAAGATTATTAAAGGGGCAGGAGGCACAGCAGCGTTAGAGTGTCAGAACATTAAGCTACTCCATCTGTTCAGACTGAAGTAACTGGGGTTCATAGATCACTTACATATAAAGCTCATCTTGAAATTCAGATACACGATGTTCAGCAACTTTTTAGGTATAGGTGTGTATGTTAGGGTATAAAAAGAAGCAAAATGTACACAGTATACAAAGAACTTCAGTTTGGAGAAACACTAAGACAGGTTTCGATGTATTTACCTCATCTCCGTTATTAAGTGTTACTTCATTTACTGGAAAAATGTGAAATAAGGCAAGCCAACATACATACCACTAAAACTTTGCAAAGAGGAAAATAATTTTATTCCAGTGTTAAGTCATAAAACAGTGTGATAAAAATCAGACCTTTAACAATTGCTAAACTTCGTGCAAACACATTAAGAACCTATGTACTTTCCTATTCAGCTATAGACATTCAATTGAATGCAAGAACAGGTGTTTACGATACTACATGCTTACTGTACAGAAGCATACTAGAGGAGTCAGAGACCAAGGGTTTTAAGAATGGTTACATTGATAAAGGACTCATCTACCCAAGAACAAATACGTTTCTTTATTCTGCGATTCATGCTACTTTGATAAGACTACTTCAACATCAGTTCTTCTCAATCTACAGCAGGAAGCCTAGCAAACCAAACAAGCAAAAAGATGGTTCCTGCATGAATATTTTGATACATCTTCCCATTAGCTATCTGCCAGCAACAGAACATTGCTGATTAAGTTAACACAGTTCATCAATACCTGACACATGGTGGGGAAAAAGTCAACTGTTCTCTGGATACCAGTAATACAGACATCCATTCTTTAGTTAGATTATAGTCTTATGATGCACAGAGACTTCAGGCCATATGCAGTACAATACAAAAAACTTCTTGAATGGACTTGAAGAGAACGAGGCTGTATTATACATACGTGGACAAGTTTTTCCCCACACTGTCCTATGAGGTAGGTATACATCCCACCCATTTCACAGGAAAAGAAGAGGCACCATAGTTCAGCAACTTGTTAGAGTCATATCACAAATAGGACAGGTTCCAATTTCCCAAATAATTCACTAACCCTACCTACCCAGAATTGTTTATAGAGTTGCATAGATTAAAGACCCTGTGTCAACAGGGCAGAGCCACCAGTTACAAAATTGGGAGGAATTCCCATCACCTCTCCCCTTAGTCTCTACATAAAAAGAACACCTTAAGGGAAGTGACATGGAAGTAAAAACATGTTTTAAATCCCGATAAATTTCTGTGGAGCTCTTTAAAATGAGATTTGGGTTGCAACTGCTGAAGTGAAAGCCGAGGTAACTTTGGCACAGGCCTTTCTGTACTCCACAATGCCGAGTTCACAATGAAGTCGGAGCGTTCTGACACCTCTACTGTGTTGTCACGGGCCATGCACGTTCATCCAAGCACAGAGAGCCTGAAGACTCCTCTCTAGGAATGGAATCAAACTGAACTCTGGGACTGCTCCACCTGTCTACGGCATTCCCTGTGGCGTAGCAGCTGGTAGGTGTCCTCCGGACCAGAACAGCACGGGGGGGACCCAAACCTTTTCAAAGCAACCATGCAACTCTGTGCAAGGAACACCTTCCTTGAACTAGAACACAAGTTTCTAAGAGGTATATCCACGCCTCTGCCCATCTACTAAAATCCAGAATAAAACGCACAACAGAACAAGCTCATGAAAGTTTACAGAACTTAAATATTTATTTTTAAACCATTTAAAACCCCCCAAAACATTGAAATAAGCTTCATCTATAAACAGATTTACAAGACTAACAACTACAGAAGCTAAAGGAGCACTACAATTTGTTTCTGTGATGCAGTTATTTTGTAAAGCTTCAGGTCAACTCTATTTACAACTTTTGCTGCTTTTACGCATTTATAAAAATATTTATTTAATCCATAACATTATTGTTTTCAAAAACTATTTCCAGACTTTTTTCTCAGATATAAATTCTAATCGAATTTCAGTTATATAGCAGATGAAAGTTTTAAACAGAAACATTTCTTTAAAATTAAAACAAGGAGTTAAAAGTAATTTTTTTTATTTTTTTTTTTACAGTGTAGGCACCATTAAAAATAATTGTCCTTGGCATATCTAACCACCATCTCTCACAAGTGTCCTTTATATAAAAACGATGTAATGGCAACATTTGACTAAAAATGCAGTATTTACTTGCACACCATTACTTTTTCAATATTTGGCAGATATATTTCAGATTCTTTAAAATGACTTTTGTGCAAAAACAAAATGTGCAGGTCTGAACCATAAAATAAACACACCCAGCCTTTATCAAAAATAAATTTACACCAACAGTTCCACAACTAAGTACTGAAAAACAATCCCAGTTCAAAACTTCAGCATAATATACATACTGGGTTGAAAAAGGGAAAACAAAACATAAGAGAAGATATTACCCATCTAGCAGTACCATAAATATATAATTGAAAGCAACTTTATAGTCTTACCTACTTTTTATGAAAAAAAAATCACGCCGTACTGCACAGTACTACCTTTTTTGTGAAAGAATATCTATAACTCAGTTATTTGCATATTAACTGGTAAATACATATTTAAAATACACTTTCAGATAATTATCAACAAATTATGTTAATGTACTGTATTTAATGTATTTAGGAACAAAAATGTGTATAAATATCTTACAGGAGAAACAACACCACCACACAGAACGCTGGTGTTACACTTATACCTGCTTGTGAGGTATGTATCATGCGACGCTCGGCTTCTCTGGCTCCCTTCCACCCAGGCATGTATACTCAGAGGAAAAAAAATTAAATTAAGTTAAATTGGACTTCAGGTTTTGTCCATTATTGCCAAAAGCCCCACCCCCTCAACTGTATTGCTTTAAATTTTCCTACCATGATGATATAAGATTTAATTACTACTTCAAAACCTGTTCTAAAAGGTAACACATATACTGTACATCAGGATATACCTGTTGCTACATATCACCTGCAAACTATTGACATATTGCTCTCAAATATATTTAATCATAGAGCTGCCTAAAATACTGTACCAATTTAGAATTATAATAGATACTGTTGCAGGTTTATTTTTCAGGGCACGATAACTATATGCTGGTTGAAGCAGGTGCTACCGCAATACCCTTGCCACTACATTACATGTTTTGAATACGCTTGTGAAAAAGCTATTTTCTCTGAAGCTTGTTAGTGATTTACAAAAGTTTAACTCATGAATACAAAAGACCCGTACATCCCCATGTACAGGAACAAAATAGCATCAAAACATACTGTACTTGCACTTTCTATTAACTAAAGTAATGGTTATTTCTAAAAGCAAAACTGCACCTCAACATTTATCAGATTAAACAGGTGAAACTACAATATTAAAAGTTGTTCTTTACAAAATAATTTCCTGAAAATATAAAACCATGTGCACTGCCACAAAATAGTTGAGTAGGTTCTTTCAAATCCTCAATCACCATCAATATGTTGCAAAGATCCAAAAGGCACAAGGAGCTCATGAGCTAAGCACTGCCAAGCTTGAAGTAGTTTTGGTGGGTTTCACTGGGTCCATACGAAACATCAGTCAATTATGTGAAGTTTCTTAGGATGAGTCATTAACAGAAAATCTATGGATAAGAAAGCAATCAAGAATTTTGTTAATTATATTGTTTCAGCTTGGCAGACAGCACATAACTGGTTTTCCATCACTGAACTAGTACATGCCTTCATCTCAACAGATCATAGGGAAAACACACCAGAAGTGAGATTCTCAAGAAAATATTCCGTAAAAAGAGTAGTTAAAGGTTCTGCTGCATTACTTGCTATAAATATGCTTATGGCAAAAATGCAGGCTAAATTAAATGAAGCAAGGTATAGTAACTACAGTAAAACTGCAGCACTAGAAGACCAAAAAGATACAGTAATTGCTACTATTAGTTTTAGTCTCAAACAGAAGCGTTACATATAACTACTGAAGCTAGGAGTTTAAATCCCTGGAAATAACATATCTTTCACTTACCACTGAACTACTCAAATTTCCGCAACATATGAAGTTCAGTGTCAGCTAACTTTTCCTGTGCATAAGTACTTAACTTGATCTTTTTTCTTTTAAAATAAAGTGCTTTTTTTTTTTTTAAACAACGTATACAAAAAATTCCTTAACTTACTTCTGAAATTTCTCCATAAGTTTCTTCACCATCTTATCTGTGATCCCTGGACACGTTGCTTCTGCCATATTGATGCTTTTCTCAAGTTCCTCAATTGCTTTCTTTCTGCTAGCATTATTTGTGTCCTGCTGTTTGAGCTGAGTAGCAAACCAAAACAGATAAAACTTGTAAAACTTATCAGACACTTGGGTAATACTTTCAAAGAAGTTTTTTAAGTCAAGACTTACCTCAGCAAACACAGGGGTGATTATCATAGTTAAACAGCTCAGGGTTTTAACAAGATCCTGATCCTAAAAGTTAACAAATAAGGATTAGATTAGCATATTCCTATACAACATATGCGCTGCATTTAACACATGTGATTTTGAAAGTTCAGTTAAATTCAACAAAGCACTTGAAATACATTACAAAAAACAATGAAGGCATAGTACATCAACAAACATTACGTGATGTGGAAACAGATGCCTGATGATATCTGAAACAATGTCACATCATGTCAGAAAAACAGTTCAGTTTTCCTCTCTAATATTATATACGCCTTTAAATTCCCATCTCTATGAACAGATAGCGATCTATTAGTATGCGGTATCTTTTGCCTTTAAGACTGACATGGGCACAGGAAATATCACTAACAATTGTCATCCCTTGAACTACAAACAGATAGTAATTATTTACTTTTCATAAGAACTGACTAAGTTCTATCACTATCTTCCTTAAATTGGCTTCAAAACCAGCACTTAGAAAGACAAACTCTTCAGACTGTACATACCGTCCCATTCTGCAGCTTCTTTGCATCTGGCTTCTTTCGAACTGTAGTAAAGCTCCACTCAGGATGAGAGTTATTTTCTTTGTTACTGGACTCCCTGAAGAAAAAGGATATGATGTACATAATACCAGCAACAACGTAATGCTAAGCAAGCATAGGTAACCCAAACACATAAAAACCTGTGTGGATTAGTTCTGTATTCCTTAAAATAAGAAGAAAAAGGTGCATTGAAACATTAACTGAACTTTAAAAAAACAACTTCGGAGGCTGAATGAATTGAAATATGATCAAAGCAAACAGAAGATGTTATCTACCCATAAAGCTTACCTTCTCCCATGGCAGCCCATTTAAAACAGTTATCTGATATCCAGAAAAGCAAGAGACTTACAGAATATATATTGTTCCACAGGCATTGTGCAAACTTCTTCATACACCTCAACCTTGCTCTGCAGTATTTCTAATTGTGATTCATGGTTTTGGTATAACCACTAGCCCTAGACTAGGAAATGCACAGCACTTAAACAGAACTGAAACTGAGTTCAGAGAGATGAAGTTTAAAGAGATAATGAGCGCATAGCTTGGCTTATACATTAGTCTTTAGGTTCATACAAGGTGTTTTTTTGAACGAAGCCAACAAAAAACATATGGAACAAAGACAGATATACAGAAGAAGACTTAATTACACAGAGAAACTGCAACAAACCTACTTCAGTAACATTAAAAAAAAAAAGCCCCAAAGAGACTAAACTAAAAATAAACTTACGAATCAGAACCATCGGAATCACTTTCATCACTGCTATGTCCCTCTGCTTTCCATCTCTTAAACCTATCAATCAGTTCTGTCAGATATGAAGTCTTCTTGGCATTTTTCATAATGAATTTGTGCTTCAGAAGTTCTTTTGCAGTAGGGCGCTGCAAGAAACACTTAAATATTTAATGTTATGCTAACATTTCATGATTCTAAATGTTAATAGGGGACATTTAGTAAGACAGCTGACTTCCAGAGCTAACTCATACAGCATCAGGAAATTAGTGAAACAGGAAGTCAAGAAAAGCCAGTAATCCACATTTACAAGCACTCTAAAAATATGATCAAGTTGCACACAGACTATACTGCTTATCCTTCTATGCTAAAAGGTACACACCCAGGAAAATGACTAATCAAAATTCTCCAGTGCAACATTTCCTTGTAAGCAGAATTCAGACAGACAGCAAAAGTTCTGCTGGAGAAAAGATTTAAGTTCTCTCCTCTGTTAAAGCTTCTGACATTATCGTAGGTTTGAGTGCATTTTAGGAAGCTGCCTCTGACACCATCATTTCTTTCAGCATTCCCCCCCGACCTTTCAGTATTTTAAACAGAAGAGACTACGATGGAGACATAGCTATTAAAAAACACCACTACTATTAACAGTGGAAGGTATAGTCTCTAAAATTATTTCAATCTATCATGATGCACTACACCAGCAAAACGCTTTGCAAGCAGGAGAGAGTAAAAAACAAACCCAAAACATCTACATACACATACACACACATATCTACTCACAAATGTTGGGTCCTTATTCAGACATGCATCAATGAATTCTTTAAAAGGTTTACTGAATTCTCCTAATAAAGTCGGAGGATTGTTTTTCGGAATGAGAAACAGAACTCTCATCGGATGCATATCAGAGTTGGGAGGCTCCCCTTTGGCTAGTTCAATAGCAGTGATTCCCAGTGACCAGATGTCAGCCTGAGAAAGGGAAAAGTTACTTTCAGTACAAAATTAAGGGCTATCATGACTAAGCATTTAATAACTGAAATCTTCACATATGCTGCATCTGTACAATAAAATGAATTCTGGTCTAAGTAGATAATGCACAAAAATGTCTTTCTAATACTTGAAGGCTACAGTTCCCAAAGACCTGGCTGACTTAATCAGTCTTTCATAACTTTGACAAACACCTACATCACTTTTGTTGCACACTTTATCACTGTTGTAACACTGTCAGCAAGTTAAATGTGCAACTAAAGACACATTTTTGGAAAAAGCTTCAGAAACATTAATCTTCCTTTGATTTTTTTTCTATATAATGAACTAAAAACTACCATACATTTCCTATGTCTAACCTTGTTTGACACCTCACTCTAAAGGACAAGGCAGAGAGTTCAATCAAATCCAGCAGGTGATCACTTAATTTGCTAGCTAATTTCTTTCCTAACAGACTGCTTGATGAATTTATCAACAACTAGTTAGAGCTGAAACACCAAGTTCACAGCATAAGTTTCTGAAGAATAATGAAGTGGTATTTATTTTAGAAAAAGCTAAGCATTACAAACAAGTTCTGTCTTTCTATCAAAATACCTTATGAACTATAAAACTCTTCTCCAATTTAGAGATTTTTCCCAAGCGAAATATACATTACTTGCATCATTTTAGATGAGCTACAATAGCTATTAAGGTCACTAAAGGTGCTTCTCATTAAAAAGTGGCTGGCAATGGTTGAATATACTTGGCACAGAAGTCATAAACCAAAGCTGCTCACAGAGTAAACAAGGGTTACAATTTGCAGCTCTCTAATATTCCTTTTCTATTCACAAGAACTAAAATATCCGTATTTAATATTGAAGAATTAAACTAGCTCATTGTTTATTGCTGAAATATCATAACCAACCACTGTATACTGGAGCAAAAGATCAGGTTGCTGGCAGAAAGTAAATGAAGTGGTGGTACAGCCGATTTATTCACAAGGCAAGCAAGAAGAGGAATTATTCTCACTTCAACTGGACAACACGCATTTTTAAAGCGGGGTAGAGTGCTTTTCCAAAATGCCCCAGGGAGCACATTACAGTTGCAGCACTGAAACCCTAAGCATGAGACTACAACTGCACGCACATGCTCCTTCCTATCAGCAAGAACCCTTGTGATTTGTACACAAATTGCTTCAAGTTTGAATGATCTTGGGAAAAGTCCCTGGAGTGTGAATATCTTCATGACATCCGAGATATTCAACAGTCTTTTCTTTATGTGCATATCACAAGTACAGTTATGTGTTTAGTATTTGAGAAAAACCTGTATGAAAGTATTACTTTGCATGTACCAAGATTTTTAGAGTTCTTGCTCCATTTATGTTTGCATCTAGAGAGTGTAGAAAGCCCAGTGCTAGCACTGAAGTACAGTGGCATTTCACTAACCACACGCTCTAGGTCATCTTGTGGGCATACACATGGGAGAAGAGGGGACTGGTTCCCTCCGTTATCATCATTTCTAGCAGCAGTTCCCAACCCTCAGAGAAACATGGAGGAGGTCTGCTTTTCTATTGCTGGTTCACACAGGGAAACTCTCCTTTGCAATTAGTCATCTACCAACAGCTCCCATGAAAAAGAAGTGTACAAGGTACCATAATGCCACCACAATACTACCACAGCTACCCATCCTGTAGTTCCAGTTACTTTTTTCCTTCTCAAGATCAGTCACCTGTGTTAAAATCTTCAGCATTACACAGGTCCTCAGAAATACCATTAAAGAAATTACATCCAGAGCTGTTTATAAAAATCTAAGAAGAGAGCAGAACTTCAGCCATCATCTTGGCTTTAAATAAGCTGGTAAGTTCTGGCAGCATTCTAATTTGTCAGAGCTTTATTACTGTTTGAAATGGGAAACACTGAATTGAAATTAAAATCAAATCAACCAACCTACAACACTGAAAGCATCAAGGTAGTTTCTCTGAAAGAATCTTAATATGAAAGCATCAATTTACTTGGTGACTTTATATGGGTCTTGCATGTGAGTACAGTGACATGCAACTCCTGTATAAAACCAATGTGATGGTACTTTTAATTTTATTATTTGAAACCCTGTAATTTGCAATTATTTTTTTTTCTCTATACTGACAGAGCTAAAAAGACAAAAACCAAAGTAATTTCTGTTGGATCTGCAGAACAGGTATTCTACTCTCATACTTACTTTTGAATCATACGCCGACTGCTGAATAACTTCAGGGGCCATCCAAAATGGAGTTCCAACAAAGGTATTCCTCTTAATTTGCGTGTCTGTCAGCTGCCCAGCAACTCCAAAATCAGCAAGCTTAACATCGCCTTGTTCTGATAACAAGACATTGGCAGCTGCCAAGGGAAAATAATATAGTATCTGATTTAGAATATTGCTTTTATGATTTTTAAGGGCTTTAACAAAATAACAGTTCAAGTGTTATGCACCTTTTATATCCCTGTGAATTTTCTTCTCTGAGTGTAGGTAGTCAAGACCTTTCAAGATTTCCTTCAGCATGGTAGCAATCTGGAACTCATCAAATGGGCCAGCACGCAGCTTTAGAGAAAAGCACATTAAAATAATTTTAGTCTTGTGTCTAATGTTTGCCTTGTTATTTAAATTAATAAAATATTCAATGAAGTATGTCAACATTCTATCAGAAATAAGTGCCATTGGAATTATCATTTTCACATCTCCTCTATTGATAATACATTGAAAATGCTGTTACTTTTCTAACGTATACAGTATGCACTCCCTTCAGCATTCAGTGCATGTGAAAAGCTAGAACCACACTTTCCACGAAGTTACAATTTCCTATAGACAGCAAACACAGCAGACCGAATTTTTCATTTTAGATTAAATGAATTGAGAAACTCAGTTTATTTCAAAATAAATTAGTCTATTGACTATGGGTTTTAAATTTAACGATGCATTTTTTTCTTGTTCCAGCATTTTTGATTCCATGCTTGCTTTTGCATCAGGAACGTAATGTGCTACTATAAAGCTGCTAGTATGGAGTAAGTATAAACTTTGCACATTAGAAAGCTATGTAAATAAAGCAGAAGCAATTAAGGTGGGTCGTTCTGCTATTAAAAAAAAAATACCAACACAGCACTGAAACAGAGAACACCATGAAATTATAGTATGGCAAGTGAGGCAAATAAGGAAAACCTTCAAGTTTTATTCTTCTAGAAGTTCAGTGGTTTCCATTGTCACTAGTAAAAGCTATTTCACTGTTTCTGACACTCCACAGAAGACTATCAATTACTCAAAAGCGTTAAAAAGTATCTCACAGACCCTTTCTCAAAAAGCTAAGTTCTAGAGCTACAAACTACTACATACTACACATAATTACTATGCTTTTGCATTCCCGTAGCTGAGTTGATGTGATGTAATTTCATAAAGAAGTTTAAATAGATGTGTGAAGTAAAGCACATACTTCAACTCTTGCAGACAGGACAACTGTTAGCAAATATGTAATTATATACACCATTCTGTAATACTGAAGACATGATATTTTTCCTTCAGAATCACACAAACAAAGACTGAATTATATTATCTTACAGGAAAGGGTGGGTCTAAGCTTTACAGCTGAGGCAGAGCTGTACTGAAAGTATGGGGAAACCACATCCACATACAGTGGACTATGCTCTTGTACTCTCTAAGCTACATCCTTCATGAATGTTAGACTATCTTAAGTAAAAGGCACTTTCATGCTGAACTGAAAATACCTGAAAATGGAAAACCCAACACCTTTTAACCAGTTAAAATTAACTGTACTCTGTGGGCACACACTTCATTCGCTCCTGAGACCCAATCCCAAAGGAAACATTTTTTATTCAAGT